TCTAGAATCCACCAGATGGCTACGGGCCTCACGTAATTCATAGGTATTATGACAGATACGATTAATGTGGCGTCGTCCGGTGGAGCCTCTTAGCTCAGTTGGCTAGAGCGTTGGCTGTATTAAGGCTCCTTCTTGCTGTAGTGGGTTCATACCCCACCGAGGCGTCGAGTATTTTATATGCCTATCAAAATAACTGATCTGTGTACTTGCGTTTTGTACGGAAATATCGACAATAGTCGGTCAATCTGTAATAAGCTCGCCTTGCCAGTCAAAATAAGGAGATATGGATTACTTGACATAGTTAAACCCTTGCGGTCGTGGGTTCTAGTCCCGCCGTGGCACCGATGCTTAACAATTCGATCAACGTGGATGCGTGGGACTTTAGGAAATATATTCTGTAAACTGAAGGGGTTCTGGGTTCTGACGGATAGGCAACTTTAGACTATACAGTGGTTTTACCTTCAATTATGGCACAAAATTTATATGTCAGGTTGCAAACATGCAGCTCTGTATTTCGTCTTACGAATGCTGCGCTCATTGTATTAAGGCTCCTGTCATTATTCAAAAACCAAGTGACAGACGTGAGCAGATCACGCCACTCTTGGTGCATCGCTTGGTAATAAAATCTACTGATCTGATGCGGAGGGGGGGTGGAGGGCGCTGGCTGGGTGGGGTTTCGTATGTGCAGATTGCAGGCGCGCTCGTGCTGCGTTCTATCAGGGACTTCGACTCCCGTAAAAAAAGACGATGACGCACTCTCTACTCGAGCTTCCCTTCACTCTCACAGCGACTGCCGCCCTGAATTACGCTAGCCCTTCGCCTAAGCTCAATGTAGCCAGAGGTGATCAAGATGGCGGTGTGGAATTGCTGTCTTTCAACTGCTGTTTGTTACATTAAGTCTGCTGTAGTGTGTGTTGTCGATCAGGGCTAGGCAAACACCGGGTGAAATCGCACATCTTCCAAGATCTTGGGAAAAATAAACGACGGCGGCATAAGTGACAGTGTGAGAGCGAGAGGGATTAAGTCCGATGATGCGTCGTCTCCACGGTGGCATGAAGGCGCGAGTCCCAGACAATGGGACATGGCAGGATATGTCAAGTTTAACGACTCCCAGGTAAGGTGAATACTGCCTTGTTGCCTTTGCCCACTCACTATCTCCATTTGAGCAACGAGCTAGCTCAACGGATAGAAAACTTACCAATCGCCAATGCCGCCGCCTCTGCCAACGAGTAGAACGCCTCCGTTGAGAGGATACAAACCAGGCGAATTTCATGGCCTTGCGCAATCGTGCACGGCGCCAACACCAGGACTGGTTGGACGACAACGAAGCCGCATTCAGCAATTTGCTCGCCGAGAAGAAACGCCTACATAAGGCATACGTAGATCACACCACTGACGACAACAAAGCTGCTTTCTACCGCAGTCGTCGTCACCTGAAGCAACGACTGCGCGAGATGCAGGACGCCTTGACTGCTAGCAAAGCTGAGGAGATCCTAGAGTACGCGGACCGCAACGAATGGAAGAACTTCTTCTCCGCGATCAAAGCTGTCTACGGTCCGCCGATGAAGGACACTGCACTTCTCCTCAGCTCCGACAGTATTATCCTCCTGACTGAGAAGACACAAATTCTACAGCGACGGGCCGAGCATTTCCGATGCGTCCTCAACCGCCTCTCCACCATCTCCGACGCCGCCATCGAGCGTTTACCACAAGTGGAGACTAACGTGGACCTCGACCTTCCGCCATCTCTCCAGGAAACCATTAACGCCGTGCAGCAACTCTCCAGTGGGAAAGAACCCGGATCGGACGCAATCCCTGCATAGGTCTACAAGCACGGAGGTCCCCAACTCATAGATCACCTGACTGCGCTCTTCCAGGAGATGTGGTGTGAAGGTGAAGTCGCACAAGACTTCAATTAGGCAACCCTCCTGCATCTCTAAAAGCGAAATGGAACCGCCAAGTTTACGACAATCACCGCGGAATCTCTCCGCTAAATATTGCTGGGAAGATCTTCGCTCGCATCCTCCTCAACCGCCTCAATAACCATCTGGAACAGGGCCTTCTGCCGGAAAGCCAATGCGGCTTCCGTCGTCATCGTGGGACCACGGATATGATCTTTGCCGCCCATCAGCTTCAGGAGAAATGCCAGACGATGCGGACCCACTTGTACTCTACGTTAGTAGAACTGACGAATGCCTTCGACATGGTGAATCGTGAAGGACTGCGGAAGATCATGCAGAAATTCGGCTGTCCGGAGCGATTCATTGAGATGGTGCGCCAGCTGCACGACGGTATGATGGCGCGAGTTACGGACAACGGAGCTGTCTCAGAGGCATTCGCAGTAACCAAATGAGTGAAGCAGGTATGCGTGCTGGCGCCTACCCCCTTCAGTCTCATGTTCTCTTCCATGCTGATGGACGCCTACCGTGATGAACGAGAGCGAGAATTGAGAGCATACCCGACACACCCACCACATTAGACACATTCGCCGCACCCTCGCTTCATCGACCAGTTCGCCCATTACCACCGCAACCTCCTCCGTAGCCGACTCCGGCGCGACCGACTTCACCTACCCACACTGTCCATGCACACTCACCTCTCGCAATCGCATGGTCGGTCACTTGCGAATTCATCGCACAGAGACTGGCGAAGCCGTGCCTGGAGCAGCAACCTATACATACCAGGCTCGGCATAACTGTCCACACTGCATTCGCACTTTCACTCATCGCATGGGTTTTTTCGGCGACATGCGCATCCACGAACACCTGCTAGAGACAACCGCCGGCCGCACGCGTGATCGAATATGAGACTTTCTCGACGCTTCAAGCGTCGTGGATAGGAAGGGTTCTGAGTGACGCCACCACTCGTTCCACGCAGTCCGTCCCGTTGTGTGTGTGTTGTGTGGAGTGGCGAACTGGTGGACTGGGAGTCGGGCTGAAAAAGCACCTTCCACGGCCCTCTCACGCAAGTGAGAGACACGCCGTTCAAACCCCGTTGAATTTCTGGGGGACAGGTCGTGCACCTGGAGCACGCAGTCATGGTCAGTCGACCCAGCGCACTTTCGCCTCTATAAACAATCTGATGTGCTTGCGCTATCACGGTGCACTAAAAACCGTGGCTTGGAAGGTTGCCAACTGATCTCCTCCTTGACTGGTGATGGTCTGAGAGTCAGGCTTCAATGTCTCCTTCGTAATGTGGCCTTTATGACACTCCCACCAGAGTGTAGGATCCGAGCCAGGCGTTGGCGGCACGCCCGGGTGCGACTTCGGCCGTGCCAGCCTCCAAATCCGTCATGTGTTGGTTGAAATCCTGGTTATTGTTGTGTGGACCAGGGGGTGCGGAGTGGAGTGCCAAATTGAGGATCCGTCCGAGCCATTCACCTGCGGCCTCCCTCGTCTCCGGACTTCTTGACTCTGTCTTGACACCGGACTCAGACGGGGGAGGAGGAGATAGTGTAGGTAGATTCAGCACAAGTCTTCTGGCACTTTAAACCCCTGCGCAAGTCACCGTCCCTGCGCGCACATCTGCTGTGGGTGATACGGTAGACATCGTTGGATGCGACCGTCGAACTATCACGTGTGTGTTTATCGGGACGCGTCCAGTGACTAGGGGTTGACGCATCCTCACCTCTGTTCTCACTGCAGTCTCTTTGCGACTGGCGCTTCGAATTACGCAAGCTCTTCTCCTTAGTTGGACGCCGCATTAGGCGATTCGTATTGGACTGCTAGCTTTCAACTGCTGTTCGTCACATAATATGCGCCGTATAACGTTGTGTCCATTAGAATGAAGCAGAATTCGGTGAAAATCGCAAAGGTTGCCGACTGCAATACATTCTTCAAAATGAAGTCTTATGGTTTGTTCCTGAATCTGAAAAACGCCAATGAAGCAATTACGACAGCAAGAGTCCACAACTTGCAGCTGAGATTCAAGTTCACTAAGGCTGCTTTAATGTCACTGCCTGCTCGCCGATAGGCCACTGCATGGGAGTACGACCTATTGGAACTCCAAATTCAATCATAGAGTTCATTACTCCAAAGGAGGCAGAAATCTGGACAACAACCCGACCAGTGCGGAACGAATACACCTGACTATCGCTTCACGAGGGAGGGAGGCCGCAGGTGGATGGCGCGGACGGATCCTCACCTCGGCGTTCCACCACACCCCCTGGTCCACACAACAATAACCAGGATTTCAACCAACACAACAGAGATTTGGAGGCTGGCACGGCCGAGGCCGAACCCGGGCGTGCCGCCAACGCCTGGCTCGGATCCCACACTGTGGTGGGAGTGTCATAAAGGCCACATTAAGAAGGATCCATTGCAGTCTGACTCTCAAACCGCCTCCAGTCAAGGAGGAGGTCCAAGTTATCATGTCAGCTGGCAACCTTCCAAGCCACGGCTTTTAGCGCACCGTGATAGCTTCAAGCGCGTCAGATTGTTTATAGTGAGGAGAAAGTGCGCTGAGTGGTCGACCTCACTCTCCCTTCCCATCCCCACACACCGGCCGCTGTCCGAGCCGGTCAGCAGACTGGAGTGGGAGATGGGCGCGGTGGCTGCCATGGCCGACAGACCATGCCTGCGCGCGCCACAGCACCACCTGGCCCCCCATACACACACAAACACCAGGATTTCACACAACGGGGGATGAACGCCGTGTCTTTCACTTGCGTGAGATGGCTGTGGAAGGTGCTGTTTCAGCCCGTCCACAGCCCACCAATCCGCCAATCCACACAACACACACACACAACGGGACGTAATGCGTGAGCCGAGAACGGGCGTCAGTCAGCAGCCTTCCTATCCACGACGCTTGACGTGTCGGGATAGTCTCGGACTCAAGTCACCCGTGCAGCCGAAGCCGCATGGGGACCGAGTCGAGATTCACACTTCTCACTTGCGTTGGAGGTAGCAGTTGGGTGCTTGCGATGGGTGCGTCTCAATGTGTGGTGGCGATTGTGGAGGAAGGTAGGGAGTGTGTGGAGATGTGGTGTAACCGGCGGTAGTCTACCGCAGGTTGCCGTGGATGCGCATGTGGCCGAATAGGCCCATGCGGTGCCTGAACGTGCGAGGACAGTGTGGGCACTTGAGACGCGCTTGGTGGGTATAAATTGGTGCTCCAGGCACTGGTTCGCCAGTCTCTGTGCGATGGATACGCACGTGACCGTACAGGCCGATGCGAGAGGTGAATGTGCGTGAGCAGTGTGGGCTGGTGAAGTCGGCGGCGTCAGTGTCAACTACGGAGGACGCGGTGATGGTGGCGGTGGTGTTGGTGATGGGCGCGCAGGGCGATGGAGCGGGGGTGGGACTGGGCGTGTTGGATGTGCTGGATGTCGTGGGTGCGTCGGAGTTGCTGTCAGTTCGGATCTCGTGGATGCGCATTTGGCCGTATAGGCCCATGCGGTGCCCCAAGGTGCGAGGGCAGTGTGGGCAGTGGAGGCGAGTGCGATGGGTGTAGGTTGGTGCTCCAGGCACTGGTTCGCCAGTCTCTGTGCAATGGATTCGCAAGTGACCGACCAGGCCGATGTGTGAGGTGAAGGTGCGGTCGCAGTGAGGGCAGGTGTAGTCCTGATCCTCATCAATTGAGTAGGGGGAGGTGGTCGTTGCGCGCGTGACAGTCGCCTGAGCGGCCGCAGTTGGGGCAGTGGAGGAGCAGGAGGAGGAGGAGGAGGATGATGGAAGTGGTTGTTCAGAAGAATTGTCAGAGTTAGTTGGCGGTAGATAGGGGGAAGAAGAGGAAGAGGCGGGCGGGGGGACGATGGTTGGTGCGGCTTGAGTGGCGCAGTTGATCCGAAGGTGACCAACAAGTCCGATTCGAGCCCGGAATGTCCGTTGACATCGAGGACACGTTGGAAGCGGTTGTACGGTGACGTTGCCTACTGGGCGAAATCGGGATTTGCGGGCTTCGCGTTCCGCCTTGGCGGCAGCGATGCGGTTGGCTTCATAGATAGCAGCGCCCGTCTTCACTGTCCTCCTCCATTTCGGACGATCGCGGGCGAGCTCTTCCCAGTTGGTCGGGCTGATTTGCAGACGATTCAGTGAGGACTTCAGGGTGTCCTTAAAACGGCGAATTTTGCCTCCTTGACGGCGAGAACCCGTCGCGACGTCTCCGTTGAAGAGTCGTTTGGGTAGTCGCTCGTCGTTCATGCGCACCAGGTGGCCGCTCCAGGGCAGCTGCATTTGTCTAAACATGGAGTAGATGCTGAGTATTCCCGTTCGTTCCAAAACGTCAGTGTCGGGGATTCGATCCTGCCAGTTCAGCCTCAGGATGCGACGAAGACAACTGAGGTGGAAGTGGTTAAGTCGGCGTGCCTGCCTCGTGAACACCACCCAGGTCTCTGCTCCATACAGTAGCGTCGGCAGGATGACGACCTTGTACATCTTCAGCTTCGAGCTGAGTTGTAGACCATGACGATTCCAAACGGTGCTTTGGAGGCGACCGAAAGCTTGACTGGCTTTCGAGATCCTGTTGGCGACTTCGTCATCGATCTTGGTGTTGCTGGAGAGGGTACATCCTAGGTACGGGAAGTTATCCACCACTTGCAGTTGGGTCCCATTCACGCCGATTTGCGGCGGCGCGTTGGGGGCTGTGGCTGAGTTGGGTGGCGGTTGGTGCATCACCACGGTCCATGCTCCGTTGCATCGCCTCTTTCGAGGTGGTGTTCAGGGCGCAGTCGTCGGCGAAGAGGAGTTCGTGAACGGTGGTTGTGGATACGCGCGATTGGAAGTGCAACCGCTGTTGATTCAGCAGGTGACCGTCCGTTCTGTAGGCGATGCGGATCCCGGGCTTTCATTGCGGTAGGCGTCCATCAGCATGGCAGAGAACATAAGACTGAAGGGGGTGGGTGCCAGCACGCATCCCTGCTTCACTCCGTTGGTCACTGCGAATGCCTCTGAGACGGCTCCGTTGTCCGTGACTCGCGCCATCATGCCGCCGTGCAGCTGACGCACCATCTGAGTGAATTGCTCCGGACAGCCGAATTTCTGCATGATCTTCCACAGTCCTTCACGATTCACCCTGTCGAAGGCTTTCGTCAGGTCCACGAAGGTGGAGTACAGGTGGGTCTGCATCTCCTGACACTTCTCCTGAAGTTGACGGGCAGCGGATATCATATCTGTGGTCCCACAATGACGACGGAAGCCGCACTGGCTTTCCGGCAGAAGGCCCTGTTCCAGGTGGTTATTGAGGCGGTTGAGAAGGATGCGAGCGTAGATCTTCCCGGCGATGTTCAGTAGGGAGATGCCGCGGTGATTGTCGCAGACTTGGCGATTCCCTTTTCGCTTGTAGAGATGCACGATTGTTGCGTCCTTGAAATCTTGCGGGACTTCACCTTGACGCCACATCTACTGGAAGAGCGCAGTCAGGTGATCCATCAGTAGGGGACCTCCGTGCTTGTAGACCTCAGCAGGGATCGCGTCCGATCCGGGTGCTTTCCCACTGGAGAGCTGCTGCACGGCCCTGATCGTTTCCTGTAGGGATGGCGGGAGGTCGAGGTCTGTGTTGGGCTCCGCTTGTGTCAAACGCTCGATGGCGGCATCGGAGATGACGGAGGGGCGGTTGAGGACGCCTCGGAAATGCTCGGTCCATCGCTGCAGGATCTGCGTCTTCTCAGTCAGGAGAGTGCTGCCGTCGGCGCTGAGGAGAGGAGCAGTGCCCTTCGTCGGCGGACCGTAGACAGCTTTGATCGCGGAGAAGAAGTTCTTCCATTCGTTGCGTTCCGCGTAGCATTGGATCTCCTCAGCTTTGCGAGCAGTCCAGGCGTCCTGCTTCTCGCGCAGACGTTGCCGAAGGTGTCGACGACTGCGGTAGCAGGCAGCTTTTTTTGTCCTCAGTGGGGTGATCTACGTAGGCTTTGTGTAGGCGGTTCTTCTCAGCAAGCAGATTTCTGATGGCGGCGTCGTTGTCGTCCAACCAGTCCTGGCGTTGGCGGGGAGCGTGACCGAGGACGGCGAGCGCCGTCGACTGGACCGTGTCTCGCAGTTGACACCATCTGCTCTCCACAGATGCGTTCTCTGCAGCGGCGGCATCGGCGATGGGGAGGTTGTCTAGCCGTTGAGCTAGCTCATTGCTGAAATGAAGATGATGAGCGGGCAAAGACAACAAGGCAACATTCAGCTTAACTGGGGGTCGCTTACCTTGTGGTCTCCTGCGAGGCTGTAGGCGAATACGCATCTTCGAGATGACGAGGCGATGGTCGGTCCACCCATCAGCGTCCGCGATCGCCTTTGTCACCAGCACGTTCCGCTGGTTACGTTTTCGGACGAGGACATAGTCCAGCAGATGCATTTGACGCGACCGAGGATGCCTCCAGGTTGAATTCTCTCGCTCCGACAGACAGAAGAACGTGTTCGTCAGGATGAGGCGGTGTTCTGCGCAGGTGCGGAGAAGCAGCAGAACATTGACAATTGTGCCGCGGAGACCGTGGGGACCCAGCACTCCTCTCCAGGCAGTATGGTCTGTGCCGACGCGGGCGTTGAAGTCGCCAAGGACAACCATTTTTCCGCCTTCGGCACAGTCGCCAAGAGGGCGTGCAGGTCCTCGTAGAATTTGTCTCTTGCGGCGGCGTCGGGGCAGCTCATCGGCGGAGCGTAGGCGCTGATGATGGTGGTGAATTTGCCCCCACTCCACAGAGGCAGACGGAGGCTCATCAGGCGATCGTTTATGCCCTGCGACAGACAGGGCAGTCGTCCCACGATGTCGTTCCGAATGGCGAAGGCGACACCCGCGTCTCGTCGCTCTGGCCTGGGTCGACCGCCCCAGAAGAAGGTGTAGCCGGCACCCACATCCTCCAGTTGGCCTTGTTCGGAGAATCGGGTCTCGCTGAGTGCGGCGATGTCCACCTTGTAGCGCGCCAGTACTCGTGCCACTAGTGCCGTCCTCCGTTCCGGTCGGTTGCTCCTCGGATTGTCTAAAAGGGAACGAACATTCCAGGCTGCCAGAGTGAGCGCACTCACCCTGTCAGTCTGGTGACAACGAGTGGGGCGACGGGAAGGAGATGGAGAAGAAAGTGACGAAGGATAAGTATAGGCAGAAGAGTAGGCAGAGGAAGAGGAATAAGAGGTAGGATGAAGAGAATGAGTATGGTTGTTGTTGTTGTTGTTGTTATTGGTATTGCTGTTGTTTCGATTTTGATTGTTTCGACCATGATAAGACGTCTGCGGCCCTGGCTAGCCTGGAGACGGCGTGGTGACCAGCAATGTTTAGGCCACCTTTTCTAGGCCCTTCCCCTCGTGGGGGCTGACAGTGCCATCCCTGAATAGGGCTGCCATGTGCCGTTGTGGCACGGCTGAACTCCAATATGGGGCCACAACTTCTGGTTGTAGTGTAGAGCGACTCGAATTCGCCGTAAGCTGCGTTCTCCAACGGCGTAGGTGGGCGCGTCAAGGCGATGTCGATGTGGAGATCCATCCCGTCACCGGCTGTCCAGCGGCGTGCAGAGACGAACCACGTCACAATGGCGCCGACGCAAGGTTCTATCCGACCTTCCATCCAGCGGAATCCGCAAACCCTTTGCACACGGCACAGCGCACAGGGCCCCCTCACATGGTTTAGCCGGCCGGTCGAGACGTTTGACCGGGGTTTTACCGCTGAGCAGAGCCCAGCCACGTGGAGCCACAGGTGAGAGTTAGGTGCCAGCAAGTGGACGCTAGGCGTAGTCTCACCTGTAAGCAAGTGAGCGACCACTACGACCATCACGTGAACCCACCGCTGACACCCCTACACCCCACAACACACACACACACACACACACACACACACACACACACACGATTGTTCGACCGTCGCATCCGACGTTGTCCACCGTATGCCCCAGAGCTGCAGCAGCGGTGGGAGCAGGGATGGTGACTTGCGCAGCGGTTTATAGTGCCAGTAGACTTGCGTAGCATCTGCCTACGCTCTCTCCTCCTCCCCCGCCTGGGCCCGGTGTCAAGACAGAGTCAAGAGTACCAGAGAGGAGGGAGGCCGCAGGTTGATTTTTTGGACGGATCCACTCTCACACGCACACGCACACACACGACTTTTCAACCGTTTCATCCGACGTCGTCCACCGTACGTCCCAAAGCAGCGAGAGATCAGAGATGTTGACTTGCGTTTGCTTTTGTTTGTAGTGATGGAAGGCTTGCGTTGCATCTATCACACTCTTTTCTCCTCCGCAACTGCACCCGGCGTCAATACAGATTCAAGAAGACCGGAGGTGGTAGAGGGTGCAGGCAGATGGCACGGTCGAGCCCGCACCATGTCGTTCCGCCCCACAACCCCTTGTCCACATTACAAATAACCAGTTTTTTTTACCAACAACAGCAGAGAGAGCGGAGGCTGGCATGGCCGAAGCGGCACCTAGGCGTGCCGCCACACGCGGCTCGGATCCCATGCAGTGACATTGCCATAGTTGCCACATTAAGAAGAATCCATTGCAGCCTGACTCACAGACCAACAGCCAGCCAAGCCACCAAACAGAACCTAGCTTCGGGGAGCAACATGTAAGGGTTGGAAGTCAGCAAGTGGTCGTCAGGCATAGTCTGCACCTGAAAGCAAGTTAGCTACCCGGTACGACAGCCACGTGGACCAGTAACTGGCCAACCCTACACACCAGATTTTGTTTAATTGTCCGTTCATCTACCTTATGGGACAGGATTTGTGTGAGGCGGTGAGATGAGCTATGCAATTCAAGTGTATGGAACTCCCGCGGGCCTAATTACGGTTTACCGATGCCAGTTTTCGCATAATCATGTTGCAGTGTGAGTAACAGGATTTCAATTATCTGCAGTATGTCAGTATGCGAATCACAAACAATTAGAAAACGTTACTGAAACATAGGCAGTAATATTAAAACGGTAATTAATTGTTATCACGAAGCGTGCGGACGATATTGGTCGTGTGGCATTATGAAGTGTAATTGGGTACCGAACCAGCTTTATCTTAAATGACCTGACGACTGCGGACATAACAATATCTGCAGGCAGGAGGAATGGGCCTCTGTTTCGCATGGTCCTCCTTATGTTACCATAGAATAACTTTTGTTTCCATATAAGCCTGTTCGACAGGTCTTTCTTGAAAACATATCGAGTCCTGAGGATTATTTGATTAACTGGTTTCTTCTGTATGCATTTATCGACACAGACTTCCTATCCAAGAAAAATTGCTTCCAAGCGCTGCCCTTTTTACTCACTTCTTTTTAAGGCCTCTTATAGCCACTAGGGTCTCTGTTTCAGCCTCTTCCGTGAAATCGGACAGTGATTTCTGAGAAAAATATGCAATAACCCACTGAACCAATCCGAATCATCGATTATGTTGACAAAAGGCTGATTCCCGGATTATTTTGCCTATTCCAGTCTACATATGATCGAAGTCATCGCTCCAAATATTTCTTCTAAGTCTGATATAGCACGGAATACTTCCAGAACAGTTCGGACTGATGGTGGTAATTAATGCATCCCATGAAGGTTGTCGAGCGATTTCGTCAGCACCCGATCTTTTGCGCCTCAGATGACATTAAGCCATCTGCGTTTGGCATCCACGTCGCACTAGAAGTCAGGTGACCACTACTCCCGCGCGTCAGAACGTGAGCACATCCAACCCCGAGGATATCCAATCACAGGCGACCACAAATGCCCTTGTCACCCAATAAACTGGTTAGGCTGGCACTGACGGACTCTCAGGTGAGGCTTATGCACTCACGCCCACGTCAGCCTAGCGATCGGACGTGCGCGGGACCACAGCCTGTCCCGCGTCGGGGTTGCTCTACAGCCACCAGGCCGCTGCACAGAATACACTACTCCTACCGGCGTCTTTCCCCTTTTCCACTAAAGCGGGACTGATACATGACTATTGTGGCGCTCCGAGTACACTCTCGCTTCTCAGACGCCACAGACACAGACAGTTTGGCTGTTGCCCTTCACGTACCCTCGTGGGGAACAAAATGTGCTGAGTAAAGAATAACCTGAACGTTATGTCCAGTAGACGCTGGTCAAAAGTTGGATATGGACGAAGTGTGTAACCTGCACTCCAGTCAATAGGTGGTGTATCAAATTCTTCCATGGTCAAGACGTCCGACCAAACAGCAAATCTTATGACGGGCGTCAGCCGTCGGACCACTTCCTGGCGTTCGATAGACTGTCAGGACTGAAAGGCTAGTAAGTCAAGTTGTTTCCAAGGTAACCGCAAATTTATCTGTTTTGTGTGAATGCATTAGTCCGTTTTTTGCGTACATGAGCACGCCTTCTCTCTTTCACTCTGATGTCCTGGTCTGTCACTTCTGAACAGCTGGTGTCGGGGCATTGTTAATCCAAGGCCGTTCACTCGTTGGAACAATGGGGTTTCTGTCAGTGAAATTACGTCTGGGGATAGATCAGAGAGGTGGATCTTTAGCGCACCAGGTATTTATGCCGTTCGAACCTTTGTCAACAGCGTCAGCTGCGCGGTCATCCGGATCGGACGCCTCCAGATTGAGAATGCCAGGCGATGCCTGACTTAGTTGTTGCAGATGACACTGTTGGGAGACGCCGGCCTATCCGACTCATTTGCATGCCTTTCTAACGATGCGCGCACATCCTGTCCTATCGATCCGCCCACGCGGCGTGAACGTGTTGAGATCGCGCCAGCCGACGGCCGGATTGGAGGAGCGCCTAGCCACTCAGATGAGTCAGCAGACCGGTCCACGTGTTAAGAGTTCAAGGGCATGGTCTGATTGGCTCAATTGCACACTGCCCTTGAACATTCTGTATCTATCCTTTATCATCAGGTTTTACTGTTAGGAGTTCGGCCATAGACGCGTGTTCTTCATCCTTGCTGTTGAGTTCTCTTTTGGGTATTCCATTGCGAAGATTTGTAGGCCGGTCAACTGCTGAGCGTTACGGCTGGAACATAACAGACATTACAGTCTGTCTGCTGGCTTTTAGTCTGTTTGGAAAAAAACTCAGTGTCTGGAGTCTTTTATCCTAAAACTTCCAGCGGGAATCGACCCTGTTAGCTCTCTTCAAGCTAACAAGTTTGTGAGGTCTGGGTGCGTTGATTCCGACTGATTGTTTACTCGTCTTCCAAGACGGAAGGCTTTCAGCACTTCAATTGCCTCAGCGATTTCCAACATATTAATAATTAGACCTTCGAAGGGCGTTTTATCTGCTGAAAGCCATTTCTTGGGAGTTTTAGCGTTAGATGTGGAAACTCCCGAATAGAGAGACGTTTCTCCCTGACTACTTCACTCCTATTTTCTGTTGATGTGTCGTTCTCTACAGCGGAGTAGCTGTTCTTTCGCAATTATGTTGTTTGATCCCTGATTTGACCGA